ATTTAGCAATCATTTTGATTTTTGCACAAAATTATTTTAATTATTGAACAAAAGTTATTTTCAGATCTGGATTCAGCAAAATTGTTCTTTCCCTGTGGACAAAATGAAAGTAAATAATAATTATAAATCCATATTACAAGGATGTTATGAATCGCAACTAGTAAAAGGGAAATCTTAATTCCAAAATTGTATAGTCAATATAGAGAATGTATTATAAATTATAGTAGTTATCACAAATTCAGTTTTGTATAATGAACTATACAAGTTCGCTAAATTTCCTTATTTACTCGCGTAACAAATTTGTCGTGGAAAGGGGGCAGATAATCGAGAGAGGTTGAATAAACCGAAATCCAAGAAATCGACATCAGATTGCGGGAAAAGCCCGTTAATTAATGCGAGTCAAACGCGCTTAGCGCCGGTGCTTTCAGCGGGCAAACTTTATTTCCCGCTGAAGGATATTTCCTTTCAGGAGGATACCGCACCGGTGGGAAACGAGAGGAATGGAAAAGCGAGCGACTTAAGTTCTCCCGGAGAAGTTCTCCGCGTAACAATATGGCCGGTCTACCGAAGAAACGCCGGCGCGCTTTACCACCGGCATCCTTCCGCAGTCGCCGCCGCCTCCTCCACTTTAATTAGCCTCGCCCGTCGGTAAACAATAAGCCGTTATTTCTGACAAATTAATTCGAAAAACAATTCTGTCTGTGTCGGGGTCGCGCCGGCTATGTGACGGCGCAGCCGCCGGCTTTTATCCCGCTGGGGGATGCGCGCCTCAAAACATAACGAGCATCCCTTTCATGTAATACTACACCGTGGCCCACGCTTCGCCGGAATTCCTGAGACCCGACCGCGTTAAGCTCCCTCAGGATCCTCTGCGACTGCAAGAAAATCAGTCCATCGTTGTCGAAGGGCAGAACATCGCGCACGGCGATCAACAGTCCCGTCATAAATTATTGAGGCAGCCTCTGTTAAATTTATACTCTGGAAGAAATGTTACTTTATACGTGAAGTATCTCATTCGATATAATTGATACATCGTTATGATTTTTCTCTAATAAAAGTAGTTTTCTCAAATTTCTGATATATACATTTCGAAAAAAGTTTTAACGATTAAGACAGGGATCACTCAGGGAAATGTTTCGCTGTTCCAGCTAGAATTCTAAATATTATTACTTAAATTACATCACTATTTTTGGCAGCTGCTAAAAAATTGTCTGTCATACGTAGAATTTATAGTAGCAATATTCTAATAATATCTACAAGAAAATATAGATCTCATAACCAAATATGATTAGAGTCTGGATTAAAGTCTGGATTGGATAAACGTCATAGAAGAACTTTCTTGCTAAATTTGAAATAGTTCAGATATAATTTCTGTCTCTATTATTATCTATATTGATTAAATACAAAACATATGTGCGTATCGCAGTGCTTACTAATCACTTATCCGTTTTAGCTAATTTTTCGTATCTAAATAATTCTCGCTATAATTGCAAGAATATGATTCACGTTTTCTTTACAAATCGATCATGAATTTTTTATTTAAATCAGCCTCGATATGCGTGAGAATTCTATTTTTTTAATGAAATTCTTAACTATAGCTATTGAGAACTTTTAAGAATATATGTATAACATATAATATATATTATTATATATTTTACTGTATAATATAAATATATTACATACAACAATATATAAATAGAATTTAAAAATATATATATACCTATAAACGTTAAATTTATATCATATATATGTATACATACGTAAAGTAAATTAATCGGCTTGAATTAAATTCTTTTAATTTTTAAGTAATTTAGTTGTGTGTGTGTGTGTGTGCGTGTGTGTGATTTGATTCCAATTTTCGTGAAGGAAAAGCCGATTTCAAATTTGCAAAGACGCTTGTAAAGTTTAATACGGGAACCTATATACCTCTCGTATAACTCGATTATAATTAATTACCGTGGAGAAATTTCCTGTTTCATATCATATCGCGTCCCTCCTTCGTCGGTGTACTTGCAGAATATACTTCTCGCGCGCTAGGAGATAGCCACGCTCAGACCGGCCAAATTCGTTTTGTCGTCGCCGCGCCGGCGTGATCCTCATCGTTATCCACCGCGCAAATATTTAAGCATACCGCGTTCGTACACTTTGGAGATTACATGAGAGAAGCTCGGTTCGTTTCGTCCGACTTCATCTTCAACAACACACTGATCAAACCCCGGTATGTTTCGCCAGGCGCACGAACTTAATACGAAACCATCCGTGCCCGTGGCCATCTTTCACAATTTGCCGCGCGTGCAATGAAATCGACGTTGAAGCGAACCAGCGAATAATATATACAATTGAGAATCTTTTAAAGGATTCCTTCGCAGCTTCACATATATCTATATATGTTAAACGTGAAATACGTTTAGCAAAAAGAGCATTCAACTCATCTCATCTCATTCCTATAAGAGGGTTTTTATACAGGGTAAGTTTATTTCTTGTCATATTTGCTTAAAATTTCAAGAATCTTCTTGCAAAGATGACAAGAAGTTACTTTATGTATCTTTTTATTGTGAAACCTGTGATGCTTTGTGTAGATACGATGTTGATTTGTATAATACGGCTTGCCTTGCATGCAGATAAAGTGCCTAGGGACACCGGAGACGTACACACAGCACCGGCTATACCTATCAGCGGAAGTCTGCAAGCGCGATTGAAAGTCGAGAGAGCTCTCGAATAGCCCGATTCGCTCCGCCCAATCTCTATCTTCACCATCTCTATTCGCGTTTCGAACGCGTTTGGCGAACTTGGGACCGCTTCCGAGGGCTTCCGTTGCGGATATCCAGTTTGATAGTTTAAACCGGATATTCGACGCCTGCCCCTCTCCCTCCCCGTTCTCCTCCCCCCCTCCTCTCTCTCTCTCTCTCTCTTTCTCTCTCACCGACAAGAACGGAGAATGGAAACGGCGAAAGGGTTGTAGTTTCGAAACGCGCGACGGGGTGGCGGTGGCACTCGGGCGGCTTATAGCAGCGCGAGACGCTCATCTGCATTTCAAATCGCACGCCCGCGCGAAGATTTGTACGCGCGCACACCTTTCTGCGAGGGTGGGATCCGAACGTGTACAGCATCGTCCGGGAACGGACGCTCGGACGATCGGACGCAATGTCAAAACTGGCGAACTAATGAATAAAGCGCACGAGATGTCATACCTCACGCTTATGATTCAAAGTTAGCGATTTACACTTAATAGCGATCATTTATACGCGATTCAATAATATATCCATACGTGGCCCGACTTCTCACTTTGTCAAATTGATAAAATATATACATATGTTGAAAGAGATACATGCGTGCATGTTAAAAGAACGATTTTGCTGAAGTATATCTAAAAATTTAGTCATAAATGCAAATATAAAAATAATTTTGTGGACCAAAGTAATTGTATGTATATGATGTATAATATATACGCTCAAATTGGTTGCTAGAATTTCAAAACTTTTTACATTATTATTATCAGGTTTGAGCGTTCTACGTAATTATTTTGATGGCCCAGCAAAATTATTTTCAGATCTGTATCTAGCTCAATTTTTAGATACTTTGTCAAAACTATTTTTTCCGTGCAGTATTAAACTCCATTTTTTTCTAATTTTATTTTATGTACGTTAAAAACGCAAGATAGATTGTTATCACTGTAGATTTTATTCTACTAGATTAAATTTTTAGCCAACGTTACTCCCGTACATTATGCAAATGCATCTGCAACGCGTATTCTCACTTCGCTGACGGATTGCGCGCGCGTTGCATGCATGTATACGCTTGTGTATATCAAAGACGCGTCGCTCCGTGCATGCCCGTGATTGTTTTCGCCCGCATACACGTACGTACGTCGAGGGATAGCGTGTACATAAGACGGAAATTCCGCTGCCGTGGATAGCTGCTGGGCCCTTCCTCCCCCGCGCTCTTCCCCTCGTGCGGCAGAATTGAGCGGCCGCGGATTTACGGTAAGCGCCGCGCAAACGAAACGAGCGGAAGTCGACTGTGCTTCCGGATCAGACGGCTAGGCGAAAGTCTGCTGCGGGCTTCTCTGTCCCGATTAAACTACGCGGAAATCCTATCGAGGTGCAGACGCCATTACCATGCGATGTGTACACGCCACGTCCGCGGTGCTTGATTGATTAATTCGGACGGGAGCGGCTTGTTTTGCGACGGCAAAAAGTGAACTTTTAAATTTAGTTCGTCGGGCGACCTTAATCTTTAAACCACTACATCCCAAAAAATCACACTAACCACAATGTCGGTCTGACAGATCGCTATTGTACTCTCGCCAATTTTATATAAGTTATGTATAATAAAAGTGTATGTTTTCTGAATATTTGTGATGGGGAAAAAGAAAACTATGTTTTAATGTGAGGGTTATAAAAAAAAATCTCGTATACAATAGAAATAAAATATATTTAAATGGAGAAAAATAAGAAAATGGTTGACAAGTAACGTTTAAATAGCGATCTATGAGACCGATATAGTGGTTTAAAGGTTAATCTAATTCTCTGCTTAACAACATCCTTCTTATTCCTTCCTAATTCAGATTTCTAAAATATTAATGTAAATAACGTTGCATTAATTTTCTAAAGAATTTTCATTGTAATTTATAGATTCGTGAAAATCTTTTATTCTATGTCGAGTCTTTTATAATTCTTTTATTGAAAAAATGCAATTGTATACAAAGTAAATATACATATATACGTATAATATATATGTATATACATATTATATACGTTGTAATTGCTTTTTTTTCAATGAAAAATGTTAAAAATAAAAATTGCATTATTAATATTTAACCCTGTATATATGTGCATAAACAAGGTTAAATGTCCAGACGAAAAGTGCCTATATGAATTTCGCCGTTGCTGGTGATGGAAGCGATCGGCTGGAGAAATTCATGGTCGGGTATTTTCCGAAGTATAGCGACTGAAACTTCGTCGCCTGCGCCCGAGGCTGCGATATCGATAAGGGCTTACCTTGCCGACCCCGGTGAGCTCCTTTACGCCTATCCTCCTGAGAAGGGCGGGCGGTGCCGGAGGTGGTGACTTGAGAAGGAGCGCGGCGTATCCATTGGGAAAAATGGGCAACTCGTCAGGCCCGATGTTTTCGTCGCCGGATCGTCGTCTACGATGCGGGCTCGACGACAGATTCAATTTCTGTGCTGCCCTGCGACACAAAAATGTTTACAATTTAATATCGTTGTACATTCTTAAACACAAAAATATCTTCTGAGAGATATTTAATTGTAAATAATTATTCGTTCATTGATCTCTCATTCTTCTTGCTGTTATCTCGGCGAATAAAATATTATATATTATTAATACATCATTAAATATTATTTATTCCCGTCATTTCAAGTTTAATCATCAAATTTCAATATCTGTGACGTAAGAACCGGATGTATCAACCGGTCATAATTCGTCAAACAGGCGAGCACATCCAGGTTTACTCTCATTCCTACTTTTCTCGACGCCTACCTTATACCGCGGCAGATGCCGGCGCGACCGGCAGATACCTGCGAAAGGGTCGCCGTATTCCGGAAGGTATGTGTCTCGAGGGTGACTGGGTGACATACTCCGCGGGGCGGGCTTGGTAATCAGCGGAGGTAATGTGCCGGAACCCCCGGTCGTTGCGGGGTTGCACCGAGGTGGCCCGCGTTTAAAGGGGGTGCACCGGGAGCGCTCGACGTCGGCGTCAGTTTTGGCGGCGGGTAGGGAAGTTACGCAGGGTGGTTGCCCTAACTTCTCTCTCCACCCCCCCTCGTGGGCCTCGTTAACCCACGCTCTGTGAAATTGGAAATACCAGCGACCTCTCGCGCACTCGTTCCCTCCTCCCCCCCCCCTCTCCCCCCGAGGTCGACTCAACGGACCCACCCCTCGCATTCCCGCGCTCTGCGGTAGGCGCCTCCATCCGGGGCGCTGTGGAGTGTCATAAAAAATGGAAAATATGGGGGGACACGACGAGGCGTCGGGACGGGACGGACGGTTATCGTCGCGGGATGCAGTCGCTTTGCGCCGCGCCGCGCCGGCCACGTTGTGTGTCTGTCCGTCAAGTGAATCACGTCGTTCGCTGGCTCTTTCGCTTCCGCTCGAGCAGGTGCGAACGAACGACGCGTGAAACGACTTACGAGGATTGCGACGTGTGTCGGCCGACGATTTCTTTAATAGATTTTAGAGCTGATCCTGGAGAGGAGGAGAGAGACCAGATGACTTTATCACGCCATTCGGAGGCAGTTCCCTTGAAGCACAGTGAAATAATAGGGTAATTTTGGGACAGACGACCATAGTTTTCGGAATTGATGGCTACAGTAAAAAAAAACGCGTTTTCCTTCGCCGAAGTAGTGGTTCTCAAAGTTTCTGTTGAGTAATACGTTTTATAAAGATCTAAGGGATAATGGAACTACGGTTTTTTTATCGATTAGGGTTTAAGAAAAGCTACACTTTTTTATAAATTAAAAACAAAATGTGTTATTTAATCAATGAATGTAATTTTATATAGATATATATAAAATTATATTTATTTATTATAGGTATAATTTTATACATACGGTAAATATTAAATTTACTACCGATATCTGCGGATAAAAGAAATTTATAAATTCTTTCTCTTTTCCTTTTTCTCTCCCAGCGTTGAATTGCAAAACATAAACGACAAAAGAATTAATTCCTTTAATAAAGTCAGACTTAGAATAATTTCTGCATACAGAAAAAATGCAACGCGCCATGCGAAAAATGAACGCTTTAAAGTTAATTATGAAACCAGTTAAAAATTGTCAATCCCGTCTCGGATGGCCAGGATACGCACGCAACGCGAGCAAACCGTGTAAAACCTTTAAGGCAATTATAGTATCCCGGCAAATATCGCGCGCAAAAGCTTTTCGGGATGTTTTTTTTTTTTTATTTGGGCGCAACGACGCCCGAATTCGCGTAACGCGTGCGCACGGCTCGTCGCAGCCGCGTAACATCCATCGACAAGCGGAATGTTTTGCCGGGCCCGTTCAAAAGGATTGTTTTCGCGCACTATCAGCGCTGTTGCGCGCAATATAAATGGCAGCGACAGAGGGGAAAAAAGAGCGAAGGTGTGTGCGGGAGGGATCCACACGAGGTCGCCGCGGCTCGTCGTGCCTCGTTTTAACGAGCACGGACTGCCTGCGAAGGCTGACGCGTAAGCGTCACGTTGTTCGCTCCGGAATTTAATGCAGTTTTTCTCGCATCGGGCGAGCGCAGCATCGCGGAGCCTCTCTTGAGTTTTATGCTTGGTTTAATTATTTACAGTCCTCCTTTCGCGGAGAGACTGCGAGAAGAGGGACGGGAGGAAGAACAGGGGGGGAGTTTACGGAGCGGAACTTTGACGAACAAATTACCTACGTCCGAAAAGTTTTGGCCACTTTTAAAGAGCACTCCGGCGTTTTTTTCGACGATGAAAACAATGCAGATGTCTTCTGATTGTTCTTTTTTTTTTACGGCCGTGTATAACGACACTGGCCACACACACATACGCCAAAAAGATAATCGCGTCAATGCATCTTGTGTTTCGCAAGTGCGCGTTCTAGTTGGTTTTAAACCTCGTGGAATAACTATACCAGCAAAATAATATCAAATGTTGCTGCGCATTCTTTACACGATGTGGAATGCGTAAATAAAACATGACTGATCCCGGCGAGATATTTCTGTAATTAACGCAGACACAATTAAGCAGTCTGTCTCATTAGTGGCACGAGTGTTCCCAACGAGAAAGAGGAAGAGAGAGAATAGCTTCTCGCAACATTACACAATAATAAAAATTCACCGCGGAAATATACACACATGAAAAAATAGCTGAAAATTTGATAACTCATTTAAAGCGTTTGTATTATCACATTAAAATATTTATGAAACATATGATATTTAGCAATGTAATCTAGGAAAAAAATATATTTTTTTACAATGTTTACTGTTCTAACGTATTTTAAAATAAAATTTAGAATTTATTATTCAAAAAATTTTATATAAATAATATTAAGTGAATTAGATTACGAAAATGAATATCACAAATAAATTTGAAAGAATTTCAGACTTGTGTTGCAATCATAAATTGAATTATAAACAGAAGCCGAAATAGTGAGATCACAATTAAATCGATCTTATACGTTTCAAATAAACATGCGAATAAACGTTTTTAAAAACTGTGAAAAACTTTATTACGAAAAATATTATGACTAAGGTAATGTTTTTCGCAATAAAGTTTTTCGGTTTTTTAAGATGCTTATTCACGTCATAGGTATTGAAAATCGATTTAATTTTGATTTCACCATTCTGGCTTCAGTTTATGGCTGCGTTATAAGTCCGAAATTAATTCGGCAGTTTAAATGGCTGAATGATTGATTTAAGATTCACATAGAATTATTATTAGCCAGGATCCAGCCTTGACTGTAGAAGGCGCTTTAAAATTTATTTGTAAGAAATTTCAAGTACCAGAATTAATTTTATATAAATCCGTGTCAATTTTATAAAGTCAGTTATTTCATGTGTTATTACTGTATACGGAGAGAATTTTTTTTTAAATTTACCCTGCAAATCGTGTTAATTATAGGACAATATAGTATTTAGGCAAATTTTACTGTGCACTACAATAAGATTTCGCAGTAAAATTTATTCTAGTGCACAGTAAAATTTACCTAAATACTATATTGTCTCACAATTAACATGATTTTCAGGGTAAATTTTAAAGAAAATTCTCTCCGTGTACACAAGCGAAATGGAAATACTATGGTATTTTATCGCTGGCAGTCGTAAGATTACGAAGCAAGCGGAAAGCCCATTCTGAAAGTAATGTATCTTCTATACTTCGCAATATGTGCCTAAGGAAAATCCAAAATAGAACGTGAACGAATGTGGTAGACGCAGGTGCGTGTCACAAAGGCGCAATCTATTTCATCAATCAGGAGGAACAGATGCGTACTGGGTCTCATACATGTATTCAAAACCTCCAATGAAATATCGCCGAAATCCCCATATTTACCCTTGTCATTGACATTTAATATCTTAAAAGCGACGCACAAAATGCCGATATGAATGGAATATTAAACTGCGCACAGTAGAAATATGGCTTTGCATCAATTTCCACAATTCGTACTACTGCATGTAAACCTATTGCATTACTCGTACGAAGTATCTTTTACACCCCAATATTGTATCTCAATTTTCATTGTTTTCTTTGATATTGAAATATAATTAAATAAAGATTAATAATAATAATAACATGATAAGTTCAATAATTAGTGAAAGGTTAAATAATTGTATTAACAAATTTTGTTTATATATATATAAAATATTTAAAAGTATGTATACAAAAATGGAATTCTTGTTGAATATTTTTGATATATTGAAAAATCCGATAAATCTGATAAATTGTATTTATTTTATTTAGCATTCAAATAAAAGCATCTTATACAAAAACAAATTAGAATCAGGCATCATAAAATTTTTCATTTTTTTATCCTTAATTTATCCTTATTTTATCCTTATTTTCTGCTCAATAAGTTATAAATTTAAAATAATAAATCAAATTTAGTTCATAAAATTTATAAAAATAAAAAATGTTAAAATAGTTAAAAATAAATTACAAATTTTAATTTTATAATCTGAAAGATATGTCTGATTGAACGATTATCATCTGTTTCGCTGCTATAATGTTGTGAGTCATACAAAATTGTTGGAATATTTAACAATAAAATTTTAATTAAAGTATTTTAATTTTATTAATGTTATCTTTCAAAATATGAAAGATCATTAGTTAATATTAAAACTAAAATTCATTAATTTATTTTTTTTAGTTATCTTGTTTGGCTACTATTATTGAAAAAAGTCTCATAATGTCTCATAATTGTAGAATTTTTAAACAAAGATATTTGTTTACGCAATAAAAAATTTACTCGGCCAATTTAGCAAAGTTCTAAGGGGTGTATTTTACATCCTGCGTGATTAACGAAGAATTAAGAGAAACTCGAAGCAATAAAAAACATTAATAACGTTTCGGAATGCTATATGACAAAATTTTATTTTTATTAACTTCTACCGTTATTATACCCAATTGTTCGGTGATATTTTGCATTCCAGTTCTATACTCTTAAAGGTCATTTATTTGTTCACCTGTGTTTGGAATGCTTTTCATGAAATGACTAATTT